GGGCCGTAATTTGCCCCCCCCCCCCCCCCCCGCCGGGCGCACGTGGAGAGAGCCTCTATACTACACATGATTACACCATTTTAAAGTATAATCGTTTATAAAGTAGTTTTAATTTTCATCAACTTCCTATATGGGACAAACTTATTTGACTTTTACTTTTCCCACTAATATAAACTATTTTCACATGGCATGCTTTAAGTTTCAATTTCTCATTCATCCGAACATCATTTTTGACAAGTATATGATTTCGATATATTCACGGAGGAGAACGCAAATCAACTTTCATATTCCAAAATAGCCAAACAGGTCCCGCTCAAAATTCGTGCGAAAGTCAGCCACAACTCAAAATTTTCCAATAGTAACTTGATTTTCATCAATTGATTTTCAAACCTTGAATATTTATCTGTAAAAGCCTCAAGAACAAGAACCTCATTCCCTCTATCACTCTATTTCTTATGGGAAATGCTATTTGTACATAGCATTTCCCATAATGCTTCACATAAAGGCATAGCATTTCTCATAATGCTTCACATAAGGGCCCAGTGGCGCCTCCCCATTGGAGGGGCGCCACTTGCCCCCTATGTGAACCATTATGTGAAGTGTTATATACCCATAGCACTACTCATTTCTTATAGGTATAACCCTCTTATAGGTATAACCTGTAGAATAATTTTTTTATTTTTTTTTTGAAATCCATCAATAGCTATGAAAAAACTTAACATCATCCATAAATCGTAAAACTCCATCGACAAGATCAAATAAGACCGGAAAATCTTCAATCTTGATTCTTGGATACTAGGTATAATAAAGTAATATTGATCTTACGGATAAAAAATAAGAGAAAACAAATCCTAAAATACATCAATATTGAACTTAGGTGTCCATGTCTGATTCCGACAGGCAACTGCAACAAAGAAGAAGCTGAAATATGGGCCGAAATTTCTGGGCTCTCTCGTTGAAGAGATTGAGAATGAGAGTTGAGAGATTTCTTGCATTGGTTTCGTACTCTAGGTTGTGATTTATCGGACTAGGCTCGGGTAAGAGTGTGCAAAACTCAAACCAACCCGCCTAAACCACCTGAACCGACCGAATTGGGGTCGGTTTTTTTATTTTATTTTATAGTTGGGTTGGATTTTGGGTGAAGAAGACGGGTCGGGTTGGGTCAGGTCACAGGTTAATCCAAGAAAACCGATGTGACCCGACCAACACAACTTGATCCACTTAGTTAAAAAAAAAAAGACGCAACTTCATTCCAAAAGGTAAAAGTCACGGGACAAACAAGTTACAAAACACAATTACACAACCATAACCTAATAATCTTCCTCCTCTCTCTCGCTTCCACAGTCCAATTCCAGTCGTCGCCACCTTTCTTATTTTCTCTCCAAGAAATGAGAAAATATTGTTTTGTAAATTTCTTAATTATTAAAATTTTTCAATGAAAATCTTTTAGAACTTTTGTACTTTAAAATCTTGACGAAGTTGTACTGAGTATCTATAATTATTCCAAGTTTATAATTTAACTTTTGGTTATGCTATTAAAAAGTTAGTGGATTTTTTATTAATCTTTCTCATTTCTTGTTAAGTTTTGATTTAAAAACAAATGCAGTTTTAATTACATGTACAAGATGCCTCTATTTTCTTTCTTTAGCATTTTTTATTTATTCATTTCATGTGATTGATATGTTTTTATTTTCGAAATATACTTTTATGATTTTTAATGTCCCAACCAACCAACTCAATCGAAACTTGATTAGGTTGGGTTGGAACACATAAATAGGTTGGGTTGGTTTGATTTTTGATTAAATCGATCATATTGGGTTGGGTAAAAAATCGACCCAACCCAACCCAACCGACGCCCACCTCTAGGCTCGAGGTTTTGATTTCTTGCGTGGATATTGTTTTGTAAATTTCTTAATTATTAAAATTTTTCAGTGAAAATCTTTTAGAACTTTTGTACTTTAAAATCTTGACGAAGTTGTACTGAGTATCTATAATTATTCCAAGTTTATAATTTAACTTTTGGTTATGCTATTAAAAAGTTAGTGGATTTTTTATTAATCTTTCTCATTTCTTGTTAAGTTTTGATTTAAAAACAAATGCAGTTTTAATTACATGTACAAGATGCCTCTATTTTCTTTCTTTAACATTTTTTATTTATTCATTTCATGTGATTGATATGTTTTTATTTTCGAAATATACTTTATGATTTTTAATGTCTCAACCAACCAACTCAACTGAAACTTGATTAGGTTGAGTTGGAACACATAAATGGGTTGGGTTGGTTTTATTTTTGATTAAATCGACCATATTGGGTTGGGTAAAAAACCAACCCAACCCAACCCAACCGACGCCCACCTCTAGGCTCGAGGTTTTGATTTCTTGCGTGGATTCAAAATTAAGGAAATAAAAATTTCTTTTGGGCCCCTAAAAAGATGGGTCTGAATAATGATTTTTTGGAGAATGTGTCATTAAAAAGTTGGGAAATTTTTTTACGTGCAAAATATTTTATTTTTTAAATGTGTGGTTGGAAATAATTATGAGAATTAAAGAGTTTTGAAATAATAGTTGTTTATGATTAAAGAATTTTTTTTTTTTACTTAACCATAAAATATTTAGCCCATGTTTGATCCCTTTTCTTTACTTTAATTTATTTCTTATACTCATTTTCAACTATATATTCACATAATAAAATATTTTGCACGTAAAATTAAAATATTTTCTTAATTTTTAATCATACGTTCTCCAAAAAATATTATTCGGAGCTATGTTTTTAAAAGTTTAAGGCCATCAAACATGGGCTTAGTGATATCTTTATAGTTTATGGGCATATAAAGAAATGATTTGGAAGGAATTTTAACGACATGATGAACATAAATTGTAGTAACCTAATTCGATATGAAAAGTAAAATGTAATGACTCAATTAATACGAAGTGAAGTCTCGATACTGAGGTAACAACCGTACTACCCAAAGAAACTAGGCCAAGACAATTAGCCTGAAAAACACCACCCTCTATTATTCCGTAGGGTTGTAAACACGACGAATGCACAGGCTCTGTTGAATTTGAATCTGTCCTGCTTAATTATTAGATTAATTTCCTTTCATTCCAAGAAAATTATTACCCATTAATGATTTTCAAAGGACAAAAGTAAACTTTGCTGCATGCATATAGATATTACTATTCAACTGATTCCCAAAGTCAAACCCATTTTGAAATCCCATTTTTTAAAATCTACGGTGAATCTTGATTTACTTTGTAATTATCTGAAAAGGGTTTTTAATTTTGTCTCCTTTTTCTCCATTTTCAATGCATTTTTAACACCTTGAACTGCGTGTAGAATTGTGTTGCAAAAATACCCAACACATAAACAAACCTATACAGATAGATGTAGTGTATAGGTATCTGTACTGCAGCAGAAATGCTGCGCCGCTTGTGCGCTGTGAAATTCCCAAAATTATCACTTTCACATTTTACAGATCTCAATGCCAATTTTATAGATTGAGTTTTTATTTAAACGAGCGATTGGGGTTTCGATTTACCTTTTCTTCACCTTCAAAACATTGCCGAAGTCAAAATACAGAGAATTTGGAATATTTTTGACTTTTTGGATGGGATTGGTTGATTTTATTTATTCATGTGTTGTTTTGACTGTTAAGAGGTGATGCAAAGGCCATGATAAAAGGAGGGTCGGTGATACTGTTGAGATTTGCTGTTTCATTTGCTAGGAATTCATGGTTACTACAAGTATTTCAACCTTATGTTTTCCATTTGTTTGGCATTATTTTATAGCTTTCTTCTGCTTCGGGATTGCAAATTATCTTGATTTAGCATATTAACTGATCGATTCCTTGTACAAGGACATGTTTGAGTATATATGTTTATTAAAAGATTTTTTTTAGTGAAATTGCATACTATGGGCGGTTTTTATATGACCGTGTTGCATGGTTTAGAGAGTGAAGCACGGTCGAGGAACGTAGGCGTTAGGATTGGTATTTAAAGGGTTGAAGTATTCATTTTGAAATGATATACGAGTTCGGACGAGAGTTTCAGTAGTTTAATGTGGAATTCTGGTGCTATCAGCATTTCAAGAGATGCTGAGTTTTGATGAGGGAGAAGAGGTTTTCTTTGATACCAGAGATTACTTGTCGAACGAGCCTGTTATTGTAAAAGAAGATTCAGATTTAGGCTATGAGATTTGGTTGAGAGAGCCAAATAGTGTTAAGGAAAGAAGGGAGAGTTTTCTAAAGAGAATGGATTTTGTGGAATGTCAATCCCCTCATGAATTAGAGACAATGGGGGTGGAAAGGGTTATTCAATCTACTGAAGTAATTTCGAGTTCTTGTGGATTGTGTGGACCTAGCATCGGTGATCATTTGGTATGTAAAAGAGAGGAATTGGACGGTGGAGCCAATTATTTGGTACATGATTCTGACCGAGATTGGTTAGATGATATGACCATTGATGCGGAGAGGCAAATTAATGAAAATCCTCTCTGCACTGAACAATATAAGCTTAACCAAATCCGAGTTTGTTCACAAGAAAACAACAATGTGAGTAAGATGAAGAAAAAGAACAAAATGATGCACTGTTGGAAGCATTTTGTACAGAAGATGAGGAAAAACCGAGGCACTAAATCATCCAATGAAGCAAAACTAGTTAGGGAAGAAGTAACTATGAGTTGGATGAAGATGGAACAACATAAGAAGAGGTTTATGGAGTGTACTGCTGTCTATGCTGTACAAGAAATTAGTGCTCACGATGGCCTAATTTGGACCATGAAGTTTAGTCCCGATGGCCAATATTTGGCTAGTGGAGGTGAAGACGGATTGGTTTGCATATGGCGTGTGACTTCGCTAGATCCCTTTTGCAAGACTTCGAAATACAATTTTGGTATCCAGTCGATGGAAGGCAAGTCGAGTTCTCAAAGACAAAATTTGAGTGGTACTTCCATCGTAATCCCAGAAAGGATTTTCCATATCGAAGAGCAGCCACTGAAGAAATTTAGTGGTCATGCCGTTGGTGTTCTAGATGTGGCATGGTCCACAACCAATGTAAGTGAAAGAGGTGGTACACAATTATTTCTGTTGTTCTTAATCTTATTTACGGCTAAAGTATATTTTCAATTGCAGCATATTCTATCTTCATCCATGGACAAAACTGTTCGCTTATGGCATGTAGATTCTGACAAATGTCTCGGTGTTTTTTATCACAGTAATTATGGTAATTATCCAAAATTGTCCTTTTTCAATTTTTGTGTTGCTCTTGCTCTCGATTTATCTAGCTAAACCCCATCCCGTCCAAGGCGAAAGGGTAGTCTTATTAATGTTCTAATATTCAAACTGAACTGACTTTTTCTTTCGTCATGATTCAGTATCATGTGTTCAATTCAACCCTGCGGACGAGAACTACTTCATCAGTGGCTCCATAGATGGTAAAGTTCGAATATGGGGTGTTCACGATAGGAGAGTGTTGGATTGGGCGAATGTGCGAGACGTAGTAACAGCAGTGTGCTACCAGCCAAATGGCAAGGTATGATTAATGCCAACACTGTCAACATCTACTAGATTTTTACGAACTGATAGTATAATATATTTCCCACTGTTTCCTTGTAACAGGGATTTATCGTCGGGTCTGTTTCTGGTAACTGCCGTTTCTACGAAAAATCAGGTATTGAATTTCTGCTAAATGCAGAGATAGCCATTCGGGGTCGAAAGAAGTCGCCTGGCAACAAAATTACTGGCATTCAGGTTTCACTCTCAAGGTCCTGGTGTTTAACAATGTTATCCCTCTTTATTTTCACTTTAGTTGACAGAACTTTTTTTTTCCTTGCAGTTTCTGAAAAATGAATCTCGAAGAGTAATGGTAACGTCAGAGGACTCGAAAATTCATATACTTGATAGGCTCAAGGTCGTCCGTAAATATCGAGGTATGGAAATTGTATTTTTTATGGTTTTTGTAATGTTCATCAGGACCCTTTGTTTTACCGTTCACAAATCGCCTTGCACATAATATCTTCATGAATTTATGAGCAGAACCAACTGTCCTGCGGTCCTTTGAGCTTTATCTGGTTTCTAGATTCCTTCAATCGGTGTCAAGTATTTGGATAGCATTTCATCATCCCTGAAACAACGTTTTGTCATCGATCTTTGTTGGAATGAAATAAAATTTATTTCTGATCAAAGATGTAACCTCTTTGCTGCTGTTTATTCCTTTTAATTAAGTTACAAAATTAATGGAGTGATTGAACTTTAATGTACAATTACACCAATGTGTTCATAAATATGATTTTGGCTCTAGTCTAGTTGTAAACTTTTGCTGTCATTTGGCTATATGGCATTTATTCTGCTTAATAAATGATCATTTTTGTGCATCGAATCAGGTCTACCAAAGTCAAAAACTCAGGCTTCGGCTTCATTTACTTCTAGTGGACGACACATAATATCAGTTGGGGAGGACTGTCGTATTTATGTCTGGAACTATGATGATTTGATCATCCAGACATCCAAACAAGCCAAACCTGTACGTTCCTGCGAACATTTCTTCTTTCAAGGCGTGTCAGTTGCTTTACCATGGTCAGGAGTTGATACAGAACAAGATAGTTCAGCTTGTGATTGTTTCCAACCTCGTCAACAAACACATGACCACCAAGAGGCATCCTTGAGGGTTCAGGATTCGGGACGTTTCTCCCTGGCAAATTGGTTCTCCATGGATGGATCGTCCGGGTCCTCTATAACATGGCCTGAGGAGAAACTTCCTTTATGGGATTTACCACCTTCTGAACATGATTCTCAGCCATGTAACAACTATAGTGATCATCTTCATCCGCAAAAATTGAAGAATAACAGCCATGGCTCAAGAATTCTTTCGACGGCATGGGGCCTTGTGATTTTGACAGCTGGTCGAGATGGAATGATTAGGACATTCCATAATTATGGATTGCCAATCAAAACTTAAGAGTTTGGTCTTCATTGAATATGGAAAATTCGACTAGAAATCGTGATAGGGAGTCGATTGGCTAAAATTTTGTTCACGAGGTCAAGAATCTTGGCCTATGTTGTCTTTCCTCTTCAAAAGGCTAACAACATGTAGGTTTTGTTCAATTCATTATTTAAATGTTGACGTATTTGAAATGTAATTGATGCCATTAGCAGAAATAGGTTCATGATTGCCAAAAAGGGGCAAAAAAGCTAGATTCTTTGTTTACACTTTTGATCCTGAAATTAACTCTTTGATGCTTGACTATCTATTCTTGTAAGCATTTCTCAAAGGTTCAACATTGTATACTCGAAAGGAATGAAAACGAATGATCAGCTTACGAGAGGCTGCCTCTCCCCAATTTCTCCATCTTATTTTCTCAATCTCCATGAAACTACTCTTCCCTCATAGAGAGAGGCTGGACTGTACTAATTATCCTCCTCAAGCCCTAAAATACCTCGGATAAGTAACTATACGTCTAGGGTTCTATCATTGGATTGTCATGATTCTCATTGCAAAATATGGGATTTGGACCCCACATTGAAATTATAGACTTTTAGTGTGGGACTTATATAGATTTGGATTTTCTAACTTCAACACCAAACTTTTGAAATATGACCATCCCATAATCTATAACAATGATTGATGAAATCAAGGAGAGAAAGTAATTGAAGCTGAAATTATTGAACTAAAACTAACAGAGAAATGACAGAAGCCAAATAGACCAGCTGAATGCAGGGAAGTAGAACTTTTCATTCAATCTCGCTTAAGGAAATTACAATGCAACCTATTCTATTTATAGAGAAAATAGCTAACAAATTATTTAATAAACTAACAAGATAACAAACATAAGAAGGAACTAGAAGCTAGAATAAGCTTGAAGAAGAAGCTGAACACTCTGAACACGTGAACTGGTGAAGAGCTGGAACGTGTTATGCTGGTTTGCTGGTGATCAACATGAGCTACTGGTGAATGGAGAATATTCAAACAATGATATCAGAGCAGGTAACCACGCTTCCTGTTGCAATCGCGCAACGAGAAAGTTGATGCCGACATAACAATGTTTGTCGTAGACTAGCAACGGCTAGTGTAAAGCTGCCGTTGTGCTTCGAATCAATTCCATTATTTTTAACATAAAGTTTCCACCCTAATTATGCCTTCCTTAGTACTAGAAGTAGTTACTTTTGTCCTATATACCTTCCGTAAGGTAGACACGTGCATAACTTCCTTCCTTCCTTGTAATGCATTTTTCTTTATTACTTTTTGATAGCCAACCTCAGATATCTTCTATGGCTAGACCTCCTTTTAATGTCACAACAGATGAGAATGGTACATCAAAACCATCTTATAAACCGCGAAGGGTGTTGTCAAATGTTAAAGCTTATAATGTGGTTAATTTTTCTGAAATTTTTATAGATCTCTAACGGTTGTTCAACATAAAGGATCTTTTTACAAATCAAAATTCGCCATTTTAAAGGAGGTTTTAAGTTGTTGAACATAATTATTGCCGCTATGTGGAATCCGTAAGTGGATAGACCCTATTAAAGATAGTTTGGGAATTTCGCACTAATAATTTCAATTTTGCCCTAATTTTTTTTATAAAGAGCGTCATTAGGGTTTATGCAATCATCATAAAAGAGAGACATGTTATATAGAATATCTACGGTTTTTCTCTTGTAAAATTCCTTTCGTCATAGTGAATTATTGCAGTGGATGTAGTCTCACATTAACGTAAACTTCTATAAATTTTTGAGTGTTCATTTTTTTTTTCTTAATTCTTGTGATTTTATTGCTCTTAGTGGTATAGAATTAAGGTCTCAACAGGAGGTTGCTACTATTATCCAGCCTGGCATTGAAGTAGGTTTTCCAATACATCCGAATGAAGAAAAATGCAAGATCACATAATTATGATAATTAATCTTGTGGTACCATTGAAAATTAAGCCACACACATGGAAGCTTAAGATCAATTTCGTAGCGATCAATTGTTATTCTTTACTATAACATTATGAAAATAATGAGTTGATTTCATGGTTAAGAACATAAAATTGTGTTTATATTCCACAAAATTGTCCCAACAACCATACAAATGAACCATAAGTGCTACTCAAATAGGGATCGCAAATAGGGACAGGAACAATTCTTGCGTTGGCAGCATTTGTGTGGCTAAAATATATATATTTTTTCAAACTGTCCAATGATATTACGTTACGTGTCTCCCAATTTTTAATTCTTGTCACTGAACTTGTTTGTGTAACATGATTGTAAGTCTGATCTTATAAATCAGATGATTTCGATAGATACCTTCATTAATTAGCAACTCATTGAGGATTTGCAATCGTTGTGGGAGGAGGAAATATCTTCCGTGGATCCTCTTGGGCAAGGAGCAGTGGCCTCGACTGCTCATCTTCTGACTATATTGGGTGCGTACTTCGTTCTGGTGGAATAGAAGCTCGTTTCTCATGAATTCTTTTATGTGTTCTTGCAATTATGATTTTCAGAGACGTTTTCCTTTACAGCTGTTCTCTGGTATGTCTTAATTGCATTTATTAATTGCTGCATTCAATTCATTGTTTAGGATGTTAGCAACCGTCACGAATGCAGTCTTTTAAGCAAGCAACAATGGAAAGTACAATCATATTAAATGTACATCATATTTGACATCATTGTTTACATTATACCACGTGACAATACATAATTTTGTAAGTTTTTTTTAAAACCTTTTTTCCTGCCCATTTCTTTTTGACAACACAAAGGATGTCAAATAAATGAAAACCATGGAATCTACACTTAGCATTATTTATGGAAAGAGTGTTGCTATACTCATAGAAAATAAAACTCACAGAAAACTTATAAACACACACATGGGGTGGGCCCCATTTTTTTGGGGACAATTTTTAATTCACATGGACCCAGTAAACATTCTGTAAAAAAATGTTTCTGTACACATATCATTTTCCTTCGAGGAAAATATTGGCATCCCAACAAGAGTTAAGACAGCATTTGCATGTCAGAAGGTTCTTAAACATGTACAAGCAGAAGAGCTGCTTGACATCTGGAAAAGGGGACGTAATTTTTGCAGCTGGAATCGGAAATCCCTTCTTCACAATAGATACTGCTACAGCCCTTCGGAGTGCAAAGAGTGAGTTCGATCAGTGGCAGATCTAGCACAAAAGTTCAGTTTGTGCGAACGTTGACCATTGACCGTCGCTTATCGTAATCAAAATTGTAAATATGGTTGTACGTTATCTACCAGTCTAATAATATTTATTGAATAACAATTTGAAGTTTAAAAATGAATCCAATTATTTTCTTTCTTTGTTCGATTTGTTAATAATTTTAGTCTAACAGGGAAAAAAAAAAAGACTTTTAAAATGTCAAATTTTAGTTAAAAAGTTTTAAAAACAATGAGGGAATATATTAATTATTTGATAAAAGAAAATATAGCATTTTGTTACATAAAATGTTACAAATGCGATAGTGGTCCAAGTGCTTTATAATTCCAACAGAGTTCACATATTCGAATCATCTAGTTGCACCAATTTTTATAATAACTATGTGCTCCAAAATGTTGAGAAATTTTAACCTAAAATAATTGCCAAAAAAATTGCTATATTTGAGATTCGAACCCAAGATTTCGGTATGCTTGAAAGGTACTCAAACCGACTATGCCCCAGAAGGTTTTATGAAAAAAATGGAAATCACACACACACACACACACACACACACATATATATATATATATTTTTTTTTTTTTTCAAACAATAAATAAAAAAAAGAATACCGACGAATCTAGTACGAGCGGTCTCTGGAGCTTGTTGGGTGCTGAATCCACCGCTGAGTTCTATTGCACGTCATAGGGGTTACCATTGCCTTCGGAAATATATGTGGGCACACGTTCCTCAAGTAAGAAGCACTTCACAAAGCCTTTACACATGCCATATAAATTTAAATATCCAAGTTTTCTTTTTTCAAGAACTCCTAGCCATTCAAAATTGACTGCTGGGTAAGATTTCAAGACTACTTGACAAGGTTTCCTTGATTTTTTTTTTTTTGATATCCAGGTATCCTAGCTTACACCAGACTATGTCCTGGACCATCCATTCCCAAGGGAGCCTTCCTCCATGGATATTACATCACCAAGCTACTCCACCCAAATTGAGTATTACAACGCTCAGCTGCTCCATCCAGGAATCGAACTCCCCACCCTGAGGTTGCAAGCCCAGCAATGCCCATCCTTTGCCAACTTGGATGTGCCCCGGGGGGCAGGTTTCCTTGATTTTTATTCAAGCAGTATGTTGCTATAAATTTCTGACGAAAAATGCTAAGTGTATATAATAAATGTACACAATAAATGACATAATGTGATGTGGCAATCATCCTGTTATTGATGTGAAAGTGTCAGATTTGAATTAAATGTGTTGATCAATGCCACTTGCAATTATGTAGATCATTATGTAGATCACTCATTTCTGACTCTATCGGAGTCATTTTGAAGTTATTTTCATTCTGGTATGAAGCTGATTATTTTCCCATAATGTTTTACAGTTGTTGAATCTCATCTTAGAGAGAGGATGCATATATTCATTCAAATTTAGTCTTCGGACATGCTTCTCAGGTTCACAAGGCTGAACATTTTGAGACTATAATTTGTCGACATTCCTTCTGCCACGAGTCGACAGATTAATATCTCTTTATTGAAGAATTGTTTAATTTCTCCGACACGTTTCGAAGAATGGGCCGACGACTAGCAGGCCATGCCGCCATGGTATTTTATATTCTAACGATATGTTTGGTAAAGTTACTATTCAGTATAAAATCAATTTCTTCCATACATTCTATTTGACTTACAATTTTTCCCTACATTTAATCACGTATTTTTCAAAAATAATAATTTTTCGTAAATAATTTGTGCCGAACAAAATTTAAGTATGTCTTTTAGGCTCCGTTTGATTGTACTTCAATTCCATGGAATTTTCATTTTCTACATTTTTGCATGTTTGATTGCCCAAATTTTTCATGGGAATGGTTTTCCATCTTTTACCCACATGCTCACATTTTCTTGATTTTTGAGGACTAGGCAATTTTTTTTTTTTACAATGGAAACAAATTCTATCTTTTTAATGGACAATTTTTAATGAAAAACAAAGCCAAACGAACACCAAAAAATTCAAAATTTCAATATTTTTTAGGTAAAAAATTATACAAATCAAACACAATTAATTGACAATTTCCAATAAAATAAGTTCTAGACAATTCAATTCCCTAAAATTCATTTTCTTTCCACCCAAATTCTATTTTCGCAATCAAACGGATCCTGAAACATATCTCAAGAGTATCTTTTGCCCAATGCAGAATTTTTGTTTACAAGTAAGTTTTCTTATAATTAAATAAGTAGTTTCTAAAATAATTGATACGTAGAATCTACACTTATATATATATATATATATATATAATTTTACAAATTGTAGTCACTTTATTTAGAAAGTCTATTGATTTTTCTTGTTTTAAGTTGTTAGTACTACCCCACACATTAGCAAGGAGAAAGAGCTAAAATTGAACATAAGGGCATAGAAATACGATGCCAGAAATTGAATAAGCTCACTTGAGTGAACGAAGGCGAAAAAGTCGATTATTTAAATATAGCTAAGGTTAATTATTTTTTGATACTCTATAGATTAATCAATCATTATTTTAGTAACTACTCTATCACTTGTTCGACTTGTAAACTTGCAAAATTAAGAATAATTAATTGTTGTTCATCGACTAAAATAGGAATAAGCCCCTATTTGTTTCTGATTAAAATCATTTTAATCTCAAGTCAATGTCAACAATTAATTTTAACCACACATTTTATGAGATCCACAATTTTTCAACCATACATTTCGTCAACTTTTATCAAAATTTATTAAAAAACTGATTTTAATCTACGGGGCTAAATAAATTACATATTTTTCTNACCATAAAGTACACATAGCATGATCCTAATATATCACTCCTACAATCATTCAAGTTGAAAATGACAGACAATAAGCAATGAACAGAATGCCAAAGTTGACCGATGCCAAAGTTGACCGATGACTTTTCTTTGAAAGAAAAATCAAAGACCCCATTGATATAAATTTTTTAAGATTTATATTAAATCATATATTTTCCTAATTAATCAATTTTATACATAAACTCATAAGTTGTTCTTACTTTCTAATTATTTATCCTCTAAAAATACTATTTTTTTACAAAATTTATTTTAAAAAATTTACATTAAACATATTATTATTATTATTGAACACATTAGCACGAGAATTTTGAATTTCAATTAAATTCATCAATAATACAACACTACATAATACTCAACATTACGATCACTAGCTTATCTTATTAAATATGTCTTATTCAATGTATAAATCACAACAAAAAAAATGACACGGTCGATAAATTTATCGTACTAAACCAAAATTAAGGCCCTATTTGAACCAAATTATTGTAGAATGAGAATGAAAAATATAGTCGTTATTGGAGTGCACATAAAAGATAGAAAAATTGAATTTAAATGTTGATGTGATGGATAACGATCATACGTTTCATTTTAATGAAATAATAATTTAGATCAAACGGGGCTAAATGTTTAATATGGAAAAAAAGTCTTTGGATAGTTAGGTCAACTTACACTATTCCTAAGAACCCAATATCTAACAAATAATTTCCTCCCATACCAAAAAATACAAAATAAAAAACAAATTGGTCTACCCTACCCCACCATCACATCTACTTTCAATTTTTTCCACAAAGCCCACCCCCTTTCTCTAGAAAATTTTGCTAAAAAAATGCATCAAATAATTAAAATAAAATAAAAAATGGAAAAATGACTTCACTATTGGCTAAAAGTCGAATGGATTGAAGAGATCGAAAGAAAAAGAAGCGAGTGAAGGAGACACCATTGGAGCTGAAAACAAGGTTGATGGGCTTGGTATGAACATGTTGTACCCGAACATAAACGGGTCCATTGGCGCCGGAGAGAAGAATCCCGGCGATATGGGTTGCAGAGTTGATGGCGCAGGAGATAATATTCCGGGAACTTGACCCACATCAAGATTAGCGTCTTCAAGAATATCCATAATATTATCTACTGTGAATTCTCTCTCTCTTTGCCTTTCAGAAGGACTTGTTTTCTCTATGGATGCTAGCCTTGCTGCCGGAGAGACGCAGTCGCCGGTAAAGGAGGTAGATGCGGATGCGGAGGTGGTGGAGTTGCCTGTGAGTCTTTGAACCAAGTCCATAAAGTCGCCGACGGTGGTGTGATGGACTTTTGGTGAAACCGCGTAGATTATCACCGGCTGCCGGTCCTCAACCTGCTGCGGTGGAGGATGAACTACTTGTCTTTGTGCTGGTTGGTGACGGGGCGGCGCAACTGGTGGTTTACTGATCTTGCGCGAGTCTTTGTTGACTTTGAGTGCAGTTGGACGAGGTCCCTGAAGTTCTTTTCTAGGAGATGGCCTGTTACAGCCGCCGGCGCCGAAGAAAAGTTCCTGAGGGTCCATAAATGAAGGTGGGTGGTGGATATTTTTAAATCACCGGTGATGTTAAAGAGAGAAAAGTGGTGGTTTTAGAGAGAGAAAATGATGAGGGATCTTAATAGTGTCTTTTTTCATGTAAAGATAAAGATAAAAGATTACAAAAATAGAGGTGTATTATGTACATGAGCATAAATTTGAAGCCACTTGCTTCTTGCCCAACTACAAGGCAAGTAATGGCTTTGGACAATTTTTTTCTTTTAAATTTTTTGACTAAATTTAATTCGATTAATTATATGAATTAATTGATATTGAACTATATTAACAAAAAATATATTGCAATGTTCTGTATAATTTTATCTACTATTGCAGTATGTGGAGCAAGACAGGATAACAATTTTTATTTGTAAGAATAAGAAACGACATGAAACATGTTGAGAGCATTATTAAAATAAATACACATGACATCTAACTATCAACTTAAACTTTGAACTGAATTGATTGGTAGTATTAGCGTTGGCAAAATACTTAAAAAGTTCAAATTTCGTGATTATCTATTCATGAAAATTATACATATGTCCATCCATTGATCAAAAAATGAATGAACTTTTGAGGACGAGTTGAAGACAACATTCAAACGAATATAGATAGTCCTTTCTAACCTCGTTATTAGTAGAAATTGAAAGTCTTAAATTATTTAAACCCACATGCGGAATTACACAATTAAAAGCAACAAGTCACTTTTTAATTGTTTCCACATGATTAGATTAAACAAATCAATTATCCTAAATTTGAATACCACAATCAATAATTAAAGTAGTAAAAAACACCAAAAATGATCAAGAAAAAACCCCAATTGACAAAAAACTCTGTACACTTTGTCAATCAAGAATCCACTATAAATCGAAACAACTTATAGTACGGTCCAAACCCGTCTACCCCGTAGAACTTCTGAACTTAATTCCTGCAATCTCAATTGATCTTAATAGAGGTGGCTCTTTCAAAATAAATCCCGACTTCTGGTTTATACCTTAGCTCACTTGGACTGCGTGCTCGTGACGCCAGATCCTGACTTATGGTATCTCACCTTAGTCTTTCTGAATTAGTGATTTCGCAACAGCTCCTGATCCCTGAGATCGATTTATCTCCGATAGATTAAATGGTTTGGTGTTTGATTAAAATATCTTGTGTATTTTTGATATGTGGTTTAATATAAAACAATATGGTTAAATCAACAAATCAAAGTTTAGATGAAATTATGGTTCAAATAATATGGCGGTAGAATTTTTGAATCAATGAATGTGTTTTGAATCTTCAAATGAATGATCTCTATGGTAAATATGATTCGACACACTTTTGGACGTTCATATGGTAGGATATATATAGTGTTTGGGATGAAAAAAGATTTAAAAATCAAGTGTTGAAGCAAAATATAATCCCGGATGTTGACCCGTCGCTCGACCGTCAAGCCAGCAACATGCGAGCAACAGTTGAGCTGTAGTTAGTATCTTTATCCTAACTTTCTCTTCCGATATCCGATTGAGGTGATTCAAAATTAGTTGGAAATTTAACTCAAACGTCTACAATTATGTTAGCAATAGCCTTGCGTAAATTACAATTTTTTTTTATGTGAAAAATGCGTTGTAGGTTGCGACTGAGAATTTGGAATATAACTTGTGCGACTTTTTGACACTCTCTAAACTTCTAATTGCGTTCCATAGATCATATGTGATCTTATTGGACATTTTGGACTCCTTCAAGGACTATACTACCAACCTCAACTCTTTTGACTTTAATTAGACTCAATTACTCATATTTTGACTTTGATTACAACTTAATAAATTTCTAATACAATTCAATTAGGACTTGATTTTGACTAAGAAAATTGTCAATTGCAAATTTAGAAACTATCAATTATAATTTGGACTTAACAATCTCTCTCTTTGACATTCCGTGACAAAATCATATTTATTTCAAAGTCAACAAGTCTAAAACTACCAAAAAATTAACTTTCCAATATTTTCTTCAATAATATGTCAACCCGTTTTCTGAAATACGTGGAAACCACGATACCACGTGAAAAGCAAGAATAAACTATCAAAATCAAAATCATATAACTAAGTTAAATAAAATAAATAATAAAACATGTGTAATACCAAAACATGCAATACCATGTGAATTATAAAATTGTAAATAAACCATAGAATTTTATATCAATGTAGACAAAACACAAAACTATATCAATAATAAAATTCCAGCAAATATATCAAATGACTTCCCATAAGTCATTTATCAATCAAAAATTTTAAAATTATCTTAACTCATATAATCACCTCCCTGAAATAAATAAGCATTTATTCCCCTTTTTTTGTCACAAACGACGAAGGGAACTATAATAATAATAATATATAATTACTCAAAGATACAGTTGATAGAATTTACAAGTATAATTAATGATCAATAAATGTTTCTACATACTTAGTTCAAGTCTAAATGGAGTAAATTGTATAAGTGACTTATGTGTGTTAAGTGTCACTAATTGTGATCAAGACTCCATACTTTAAATTTGTGAGAAATGATATGCTGAACATCACTGTTAAATAAGTTTATTCCCCTACTAATTAAAGTCAAACCAATAATGTATAGTAGGATCTATAAATGAAGCTCATTTTTCATGCATATTATTCTTTTATCTCCCTAACTTTGAGCATATATATACATTTTCGCACAATTTCTATTTTTCTTTTTAAACTCATCATTTTCTATTTAATTTTTCACATCTTATGTGCAGACTCTTCTCCATTAAGCGAATAAAATGACCTCTGTAACGAGATTTCGGCCGATAACTCTAAGTCAGTTGACCATAGAATATCATATTATGAGAAATCCCTTGCGCTTAATTGCTCAAGTCAAATATGATTCGAAAAAGAGTATAAGATGAAACATTTTTTCTGTTATTTAAGGGTATATACTAGAGCTCATGTGTACTAAATTAAGGTCAATTCATGTTCAAGATCACCTTACCAACAGATGACGGCCATCTCAAATCTCACACACGCAGTTAAGACTCACACAAGATCATTGTGTGATGTGATCTAGGGTCCGAGGGCAAGTTCGGGTAAGGATCCATTGGTCGTTGAGGAAGGACCAATGACGAGGTTTCTGACAAAGAAGGTCAATGAGGCTATGAGATTGTTTGCTCAAACTATGGTGGACAAAACATTGATCACAACAAGAAAAAGAACAAGTTTCATGTTCGCTTTGGAAGATGAAATGAAGTGGATCAACTTGGTGCAAGCAACGGGCAAGGGAGATGAGTGACAAAGCTATGCGGTCACGTAGCAAACCTATGCATGCGGCCACATGAAACCATACCATGGCCAAAGTGAGGGTAGACTACTGGCCTATGCGATCGTATGAAATAAACCTATGCGGCCGCATAGTTCAAATTGGATCGCAAATTTTCCTAATTTCGCGTAATCTTCTATTTCAGTTAAAACTCTTATATGGTATATTTTTTATATATTTTTTGAGACTTAATTGCTAATTTTGCGTAATCTTCTATTTCAGTTAAAACTCTTATATGATTTTTTTTTTATATGGTATATTTTTTGAAAGTAGGTTTTATATAAATATGACTCATTCTATTAATTGTAAAACACACAATTTGAGAGATTTTACTGCAAGACATTGTTTTCTTCTCGTTCTTCGTTGAATTAATTGTGCACTTATCAAAATTATTTCTTATGGAGTTTAAATAAATCAAGTGGGATTCTTGAGCCTTGTAATCATGGGGCCAACATATTGTCAGCGATTGTGTTGGTTCCTTGATTCAATATTTTTTAATCAACCTTAAACGTTGATTTCTTAGCTTTCTTAGGTTGAATCAATTTTGTGTGGATTTCGTAGCTATCATTGTTATGTAGGTTCACATCAGTTGGTATTAGAGCAGGCTCCAAAATTAAGGTTATATCCTATTTATTTATTTTCCTTTTTGTTTGAGCTTTTGTTCTTCATTTTTCACCTTTTCCACGTTCTTCTTTTTTTAGTCTCCAATCCCAAAAAAAAAATTCCAAAACTTTTTTGTGTACTCATTTAGCATTCAAATCAGTTCTTTGTTTCTTATGCTGGTATTTAGTTGAATTTTCAAGTAAAAAAAATGAAAGTAAAAAAACAATTTGTCGGCAACATACAATTTCATTTTTTTAGTTAAAAAAATCCAAATTCAAAAGTCTCAAGTTTCAATTCAAGAAACACCTTCTTGAATATTTCTTTAGTGTCCATTTAAAGCATCAATTCTTACTTTTTGAGTCATTTTTTCTTACTCAAATCTTAGTTTGAAACTCTACAAGGATTAATTTTGTTTGAGGTCGAATTAGTTCTTTAAGGTACTTGCAAAAAAGCATTGAGTGGAAAATAGGCAATAGTGGTGTGACTAATAGAAAGAAAAGCAAATTTGAGCGATACACGAGTGCATATACATGATGCAAATATTAAATTAGAATTAGGATATCGAATAGAGATGACTCTACTTCAAACAAGAATAATAGTCAAGTCAACATGTCGGATGTTCTGATACGATGGTTCGAAAAGTTATTTGAGGATGTGAGAGACAGATTGGATTGACAAGACACGTTGCTTGCTAATTTATGTAGAGAACAACCTAGAGATATTCCTAACGTAATGAGGCAAGGAAGGCAGAATCCTCTAGTGGATTTTGCTAGTGAACGGGAAGCGGATAGTGACATAAATGATGATGCAGTGGTGGATGTCGAGTTAGGAAGAATGAGAGAGATGAGTTAGGCATGAAAGGAGGGGTAGAGATCTTGTTGGAGATAGTGTTGATAGAAGTATGAGCAATATCAAAATGACAATTCCTTCATTCAAAGGAATGAGTGATCTAGAGGCAAAATTGAAGTGGGAAAAGAAAGTAGAATTGATATTTGATTGTCACAACTACTCGGAGGAAAAGAAGGTAAAAATTGAGTTGTTTGAATTTACTGATTATGATATCAATTGGTGGGATC